CGCTACTAGGGGCTCCTGGCCGTACTACTAGGAACAAGAAGCTACTAATAGCAGCAAGAAGCTCCTTCTGCCCTTCCAACCCAAGGATCTGCACCATCTTTCAGGAGCCGATCAACATCCTGGTGCCGACCCGCTGCCGCCCGTTCAATGAGCTCCTTGCTGAGAAGCTCAGCCGCCACTTCTGGCATGGCTGGCGCTCGAGGTGCTGGAAAATGAGAGTTTGCCTAGAGCAAATGTGCGCTTTTTCTGGGAGATTGCAGTGCATGGGTGATTCTTGCTATCTGGTGTCTGTTGACCTATCTAGTTAAGGTGTTGTGGAACTCAAGAAGTTCAGTAGCGCTAACAGTTCGGCGACTGTCCTGTTGGCGCAGGCAGGTTCCTGCAACGCTCGCATGAAAGGTGTGTTTGTGCTTTCGGGCATGCAGTGCACATGGCCAGAGCATGTCTGCAGCAGTCTCGGGCGGAATGCAGGCAATGCGGCCCCAATTGTTGCACGAATGTTCGTGAACACAACTCTCAGAATGGGTGCGCATCCATTTCTCAACCACTTCAGGAACAAGCAGTCAAAGGCATAAGTTCACCTTGGACGATGTGTTGCCCGAGAGCATGTGTTGCCGCGTTGCCCTCTTTTCACACCAGGCTCGCTTGTCTTCAAGGCCATCCTGAGGCAAGAGTTGGACCAAGAGTATGTGCTGCATACTGTGCCGTAGACACTGCTGGTGGCTGCACAGTATAGGCTCATATAGGCTCCAGCAGGGTTCCCTCTTCAAAAAACGGCATGCCTATCATGTGAACAAAGGTGATACAATGGTGATACTACAGTCCACGAAAGTTCATACCCTCTTTGTCTGTGGCGATGCCGCACAGGAAAGGACTCTCTGAGGAGCGGGCCCGTAAGAGCTGCCATGATCAGCAACACCAAAGAGCAACTGAAGGCGGCGCTTGCAGAAGGTCCAAATGAAATGCTTCATCGCTCTTAGGTTGGAGGCCATTGCAATTAGGTTGGAGGCCATCGCTCTTAGGTTTGGAGGCCATCGCTACTAGCATGGAGGCCATCGCTTTTAGAAACAAAGGCAGAAGAAAAGGAAGAAAGGTCTTATTAGGTCAATTGTGTCATTGAAGCGCAGATCAAAGGTCCAAAGCTCTCCAAGTTCTCGCTCTACAAGTAGCTCCCTCCAAAGCAACAAAAACACATGATCTCTATATTATAGTCAGGACTGGGTTTGAGCTGGAAAGCCGCTTAAAGATGTCTCAATGACGCAAGCTGTCGGCACTCGAGGGCATAAGGAATTTCAGAAAGTAAGAGATCCAGGATGATCCAGCCAACCAAAAAGCCATTGTCTCAGTCGCATGGATCAAAGAAAGGCCTTCTTGATTGGGCATGTCCGTCATCCTGGCACAGAATTGTGGGTCGCAATGGCCATACACCTGCTCAAGTCTAAACCGTGCGCATGTATGATATATAAGTATAACCCAAAAAAAATATAGTATAATCTAATATTATATATGTGTGTGGGAATTCTCCCGTGTCATTGAAACACATGCAACAATGTCATCTGCTTGGATGTCCTCAGACCTAATCTTCTCCCAAACAGGATGCAGTCCGACCCGAGCTGCCGGCCTGGTCTGCACCTTGAAGGAAAAGAAGAAGACAACAAAAGGGCAAAAATGGGGTTCATTGCTATTAGGTTGGAGGCCATTGCTTTTAGAAACAAATACAAAAGGGAAGAAAGGCCTTGCTTTCTAAGAGCAATCTGGAGATGTGTTGGGAAGTGATCCTCTGAGCTGTCCAGCCTGGCTGCGAGAAGTCATAGCGGGATACCACCTGAAAGCGTCATAGGATTTCCGTCTTTGAGGGATTTGCAAGTACATCAGGGTCCACTCCAAGTCCACAAACTGTCAAAGCCTTTGCAGGGGGTAGAGGACGCTACTAGGAGCAAAAAGGCATAGCTACTAGGAACAAGAAGCTACTAGGAGTTTTTTCGCTGTGTTTTTGTCGTTTTGTCGCCATCTCATCTCCACTTGGGTCACGGACGGCGGAAGAGCCGCCCCTCGCAGTCCCAGTCCCAGCATTCACCGGGTCGATTGTCCGCTCTTCTGGTGGCTCCTGGAAGATAAACCTTCTTGCTCCTAGTAGCGTCCTTGCTCCTAGTAGTACGGCCAGGAGCCCCTATAATGTTGGATCACGATTAGTAAAGGGGACCTCTATAATGCTAAATTTTTCCAAAATTATTCAGACCCCCCTGTTTAAAAAATGGCACCTCTATAATGCTAATATTTTTTTGGCCCTAAATTTTTAAATTGGAAACCCAATTAATGAGGGTTTGAATTCCTTCTGAGGCCAATGATTATGATTCATTAGCTGATATAGCTTTCTCTAGGTTTCTTCAAAACTGACAGCTGGCCAAAACCACCAATTCCCCAATTAAACCCTTTATAAAACATTGCTCCTAAACAAATTTTC